TCTACAATGAGGTTGTCAGACTACGTTTAATCATGAAATGTAAACTTCCATTGGTTTAGTGTACTTTGATCCTTCTAATTCTTTAACTGTATTTTTAATGGGAATGGAAGAGGGAAGTATTTTTAATCAAAGATTCTATTTAACAAATAAATTTAGCAAATGGTAGACCTTTCGAAATAAGACCAAAGATTAAGAACCAATTTTTTTTTCTTCTTGCATTTAACCAGTGTTTGACAGTGTATGGGTGTCAACAGACCATGATGACATTGCACGTGTTAGTAAAGAGTGGGGCGCCCAGGTATTTCGAAGAAGTGCGCACTCAGCCCGAGACACAGCAACATCACTTGAGGGTGTTCAGGAATTTCTCCATGCTCACCCAGGTAAGTTGCGCTGCTATTGTACATATACCAATACTGTATGTACAGTACAGGCATAATCAGGTAAAAAAAAAAAACACCTCTATATACGCCACTGAAGCACAAAGGTAAATAAGGCCAAGTGAAAAAAAAGTAGGTTCTCGTCATAATATTTTGGAAAAAGGAGATGAGAAACTAGCAATTTTTTTATTTGGCCTAATCGAACAAAAAGTTATATGAGAGACTTCCATGTTGAATTATGTTGCTTAGCGACAGCTTTACCCAGATGCCAATACAAGAGGTTCTGTTACAACTTAAAAATGGTTGCAGAGAAAAAGCCTGGGACATTCCCCTCCCAAAAAAGCGCTATTAGAGAGCAGTGGACTACAACAATAAGTCAATGTATCATGCAACACTATAGGCCTAGTCCCAGTTAAACACAGAAAGTATAGGATAATCCCTGCTTGTCAAACAGGGGTGGCACCGTCACCAAAGAATACTGGTCTAAAAGTGGGTCGCCACCTGAAAAAGTTTGAGCAGCAGTGGTATAAATTATACCAATGTGCAGTGAACTAACAATGGTATTCATCTGGTACGACAGAAAGATATCACAAACAAAATAGTGCGTAGAGAGGCATATAAAAACAAGTTCTCCTAATCTCGAAAGCTCCGATGAGGGCAGTATAATAGAGGCAGTAGAGTATATTGGCCCTAATGGTCTATAAATCAATCAGCCAGCTCAGCCGCCCTCATCGGAGCTAAAAAAAATAGCTCAAAAAAGATCTATTAATCAATCAGCGCTCGGCCCGCCCTCATCGGAGCTCAAAAGAGAGCTATTAATCAATCAGCCAAACGTTTCTAGAGCTCCTCATCGGAGAAAAATATTGGGTATAATTATTTCACTTGCATTAGAATTATATTTTCAAAGTAGTTAAATATCCTGGCATTAAGAACTTCATATGTACCTGACTTAATAAAATTGTTTGAATAGATCTAAAGAATAAGAGAATGAATACGACTTGTTGATTATGAAGAAAGGGAAAATAGTGAGCACAATTTGAACATTCAAATCATTCTCCTTCTATTGAAATGTATGCATACAGTAATTGTGTAGTGCTTGATGAAACGTGCAACCTCAACAATACAGTTGGACATGTTAAAGGTTGAAATTTTTTTTAAACAAAACCATCTGCACTTATACTGGCATTGCTTTAGAAATCAAATATGCCTGATTCACTTACATTTGATTGTTTACATAAGGGACAGAAAATATATAGATAATTTTTGTCCTACCTATTATTATTAATCACCAGGCTGAAACTCACATTGAAGTACAATAAAGAGTACTGTAATAAAGTACCCAGATTTAAGATTAAGTACCCAGATTTAACATAAAATGTTGAATCTTAAAGTTAGAGAGATGTGAATCTTCTTTGTAGAGATATGCCTTTTTAAAGATTATAACTCATTTTCGCTGAGACCCCTTTGGGGTCAAACATGTTTTTTTTTTTATTCCTTCTCTTAGTCTTTTCTACCCATGCACTCTGACCTGGCTTCTACTAAATCCTGGTCCATCAAATATGATTTAAGGTTTTGTGTATAAGTTTTGGTTTAAATCTACATGTATTTTTTTTTTATTCCTTCTCTTAGTCTTTTCTACCCATGCACTCTGACCTGGCTTCTACTAAATCCTGGTCCATCAAATATGATTTAAGGTTTTGTGTATAAGGTCTGGTTTAAATCTACATGTAATAGTGTTTAATTCATCATATACAGTAAATTTTTTTCATTTCATTTCTTTAATTATATTTAAGTAGATAATAGCCTATAGCAATGAAGAATTTACAGTAATTGAATGTACTGACTTTGATAAAATCTGGAAAGAATTTCAAAAATTCAATTACAAGATAAAAGGATAAAAAAATAGTTATCAACTTCCAATGAAAATATCAATACAATTCTGTTTACAGTAGGTTAAAAGCTTCCCCATACCTGCCAACCATCCTGATTTACTCGGGGGAAAAAAAAAGAAATTTACTTTGTAAGAAGTATCCACTACTTGCCAGTGTGATGAAGGAGATATTAGTCCGTAGTTCCCTGGGTATAATTTCCCCACCCCCATGAACGCGAAATTGGCCCAATTTTGGGGGTGCATGAATAGAATGAAAATGAAGATCGTTTTGCGAGGTGGCAGATGCATTTCAACAATTGCTCTACGATTCAATAGCCTATCAAAAACAATATCCCGGCGAAGAAATCATTCTTTACTCGAGCATCAAAGTAAGAGAACACTTTAATCATAGTTTAGTAGACCTAGGCGCCTAGCAAGCTAGGCCATATCTTGGTCTTATCTCGTACTAGGCCAGCCTTTGCCTAAACCTAAACTTGATTTCTTGCATGATGTAACAAGTTATTTTTAGCAGCGAATCTCTGTGGAACACAGAAATCTTCACGCTGTAAATTAACAATCCGATCAGCCAACTGGGCGGGTCTCTTTAGTGACGAACCACTGTTTTGTCTATTTTTAGCTGCAGTTGTTGAACATGCGAGTCTTTACACTATGAATTAACGATCTGATCATCCTACTGGGCGGGTCTCTGTAGGGACGGACCGCGGTGTTGTCTATTTTTAGCTGCATTTAGCAAGCTGTTTATTTTTAGCGACAGTAAACAACTAAAGAATTTACAAGGATGGGCTTTGCATTCAACTTCACCGCGACCAATATCTGTTCTAAGCAATTGGAAGAGTTTCAAGTCGGCAGAATTTGGAGACAATTCCTTTATTTTTTGTGAGCATTTGTTAGATTTACTGACCTAGGCCTACTCAATTTTACCCTGGGACTTTACCCGGGGAAATTCTTGAAGGCCTAGGCCCCTACGCGAATTTGGGCGTAAAGTCGGGGGTGGGATTATACCCGAGGTAGGACTAGCCGGGCAACTACAGTAATATTTCATAGCAATAGTGACTGTGAGAGAGTTTCCTCTATTGTTGAAAAAAACAAGACCAAGCATCGGGCTAGCATGACAACAAAAACTTTAAGTGCTTTAATGACACACAAGCTGGCAATGTTGAACAGAGATATTAAGTGTCATTCGTCTAGGCTAAATAATAACGTTATGAGATCAGCAAAACAAGCAACATACCGTACCCTTCATGGTAAAGTCTGTAGGCCTATTGATTAAAATGTAACTTAAATATTTGTGTTGGTTTTGAGGTAAATAATCAGTACATTTGAAATTTAGTAACTTATTTTTTTATTTAAAGCAACTGTACAGGAATTACGATATATAATTACCATCTTACAAATTGTTTGGGGTGGGGCATGGCACCAATTTTTAATTGAACCAGGGACTTCACACACCCTAACCTGCATTTATGCCTCTAGACCAATGAGCCGTAGTTACTATGTAATTTTGAGAGAGCTCTAGCAATGCTCGGCTGACTGATAGATATTTTTTGTTGTCTGATTAATAGATCTCTCATTGTTAGAGAAAAAAAAAATAACAGGCTCGTCTGGGAATTGAACCAGGTACCCCTCACACCTTAAGCTACATTCGTGCCTCTAGACCAACAAGCCATAGTTATTGTGTAATTTTGGAGGAGCTGAATACCCAGCTGATTGATAGTTTGATTCACTGATTGTTTAATAGATCTTTTTTGTATGGGCGGCAGTTAGGGGCAACATACTCTAATGCCTCTATTATACTGCCCTCATCGGAGCTTTTGAGATTACGAGAACTTGTTTCAGATATGTTGCCTTTATACAAAATTGACATTAGGTGATATAGTATTAATATTATTAGTCTAAAATGCAAAGAATAGGAATGATAAGCATCTGATAATTGATGAGCTTCTTGTTCTAATTATTAATTAAGAGATAATGACAGGTAATTAGCACAACACAGTAAGTATTATATCTTTAAGACAGGTAAAAATGGATTGATATGGATAGCAAAAAATAGTGTTATGTTCTACAAACTGCAATAATACAGTAGTAGGAATTTCTTTAAATGTTATGTTACAATTCCAAATAATATTGAATTTTTGTATTCTTTCAAAATTCTAATTTTTCGTATTCCCGTAGAAATTGACTTTGTTGGTCAAATCCAATGCACAGCGCCATGCCTTCATCCTTGGCACATTCAGGGACCGGTTCGAATGCTGCGATACGAGGAGTTTGATTCCGTGTTCGCTGTCGTGCGATCACACAGCTTTAGGTGGCAAGAGGTGCCAAAAGGTAATTTTAGTTGTAATGTGTATTTATTTTTAGTTTATAGGATTTATATAGCGGACATATACAGAAACCTGCTCAAGATGTTCCCCCCCCCACCCCTGGTCATTGGATACAGAATCAACCATACACAACGTGCAGCCGCCTCCTCCGCTCCCCGGGGAATATTCCTAGTTGTGCATGTAGTCAGCACTACTAATTTCATTCCAAATCATTCACCTTCTACCAGGTACCCATTTGTACTCTTACGCGAGGGGATGTGAATGCAGGTAAGTGTCTTGCCTAAGGACACAAGCAGTGTGACAAGCATTGGTCTCGAACCCCTGACCTTCCAATTGGACGTCCAACACCTTACAAGCTGCACCACACACTTATCTTTTTATTGGTTAATTTCATCAGCTTTGATATAACGATTATTTGAGTCAAAGGCCTTCAGTTGGATAATGTCATTTTTATCCCAAATGGCTCTGTGCATAACAAAGATAACAGTGGATTGTATACCAGACTCCAGTATACTGACAAATGTACCTCCTCTTTCTGAAAAGAATTGCTGCTTATACATAAGGCATGGGATATATTCATTACAGTATTTGTAGTCTTTGGTTCATGTACATCAATTTATACCAAATATAGCAATGGATCCTATTTTTTAATACCTTTCCTCATTGGTGGGAGAATCTATTCAAATCAGTATTTGTATTGTTCTAGCTATATCATACAGGTGATCAAATAGGTTACTTGCTATCAATGTAAATAGTAATTGATTCTTCATACATGTACCATTGTTTAACTACCTTTATGTCAAAGTTTATTTTTCTGGCTAACAGCCAGGCATCTGTAATTGGCATTTCAGTTAGTTGTTTCTGAAGCCATTAAATGGCAGTGAAATTTGGCTTGCAGTGTACAGTATGATGTCATCCGACCAGCAATCATTTTATGATTTGGAAGCCTGGCAAATCCTTGCAAAGTTGTATACTTATATTATTATGAGTAGCATTACATATTTTTTAAATTTTTTTCTCTAATAGGAGAGATAACAAAACCTCTAAACCTAGATCCAGGAAAACGGCCTCGAAGGCAAGATTGGGATGGCGAATTGTTTGAGAACGGGTCATTCTATTTTGCAACGCGGCAACTGCTGCTCGATGGGTACTTTCAAGGTGGCAAGTATGTCATTTATTTTCTTTCGTTTTTTTTTTTTTTTTTTTCAAAGTAATTTTGTTGTCAATAATACAACAAGTAAAATTGAAATTTGATTTCCTTGGATACACAAAACACACAATCAAAAAAGACATAAGTAAACATAATTAAAAATATAGCAGATTAAATATCATCAGTTTAATTCTATTCTTAATTTAATTTACAAAATATAATTCCAGAGTGTGAGAGCAAAGTTAAAAAAAAACTACTATAAAAAAATATTGCAGTTTAAATATCATTAGTTCAATTTATTTCTTAATTTTATAAAAATATATACAGAATATTCCAAAGTAAGACATCAAGTATAAAAAAAATAAATAAATCAAGAAAATATTACAGTTTAAAAATGATTAGAAATATTGCAATTTAAATAAAAAGTATCATCAGTTAAATTTAATTCTTAATTTAAATGTACAAAAATAAAATACAAAAGATAGATTATAAAGTTTATTTGATATGGTAGAGGCTCTTTTTATAATTAACTATTACATTGTTTAATCACAATACAGAGGTTTATTACCTTCACCAAGGAGGGTATGTATTTACTGTCTGTCTCTTAGCAAGATTACGCAAAAACTAATGAATAGATCATTATAAAATTTATTGGAATGGCTGGGGCGGATGGAGGATTTGGCAGTAGGAGGTGTGTGAGAGTCCACACCACCTCAGCCCCGACATAATTGGGGTTGAGGCGAGAAAATTTTAAGAATATGGACCTCTTAGGTGCCAGGAAATTGCACTCTCATACCTTCATATCAAGAATATAATACAATAATTATTTTTCCTAATACAATTTAGGGGGGTTGTGATCGCATCATCTGCATCCGCCCCAGAATGGTACATAATAATTGAAGAAAAACAAAATTCAAAATTCAATTTTTTTCAGGGTCACAGAAATTTAATTTTTTTTCCTCAAGCATAACAGAAAATAAAGGAATCGCCCATGTAATCAGATAGCACTCAAGAATACAGTGTGCCTAAATACGACAGACGATTCCATTATCTCTGCAGCACTAAAGAAAATAATGTGCCTGAATACGACTGGCGAACCATTATTTTGTTGAGGGTGTGCTGCAGTTTCGCCTATTACAGGCCTACATGACCTGCATATTGTTCATACTGTATTCATGTACAGGGTGGAGTTATGGACTCTATGGAGTGATTGCTGTAGTTTATTATTTCTTTATTTAAAAATTTGCTTATTTACTTATTTATTTTTTGCATAGTATATTTTTTTAAATAATTATTGTTGTTGTTGCCTTTTCCATTGTTGTTATCATCATCATTATCGTTATTATCTTACAAGGGTTGGTTATTTTGAGATGGCACCAGAATACAGTGTGGACATTGATACCGACATAGACTGGATAATTGCCGAGCAGCGAGTCATTAAATTTGGTTACTTTGGGAAGATCAAACCACAAGGTGTCAAGTTAGTAGTGTTCTCAGTTGAAGGTGTCTTAACAGACAACCAAGTTTACTACACAGCAGGTAAGCATGTAATATTTTTTCTTGCATTAAAAATTATTCTAGGTAATTGGATTTACTTTTTGGATAACCCACAAAAGTTTGATGAAGTGGGGGTCCTTCGGGTAATGATTGGGCATTACACAGGGAGAGAATCCCCTACTCTTTTCCAAAGAGTGTACTGCATTTTTTAACGTGCACATGGGCCATAATGCACGCAGGACCAACGGCTTAAACATCTCATCCGAAAGATGGTGCACTTTCGTAACTTGAATTTCAGCTGGAAGGCGATGGAAATTGAACCAGGGACCAAGATATCTCCATGGTTCAGCGCACACACAGTGGCTACCACCAGTTTAACGGACTAAACTAAGCTGCTCTGACTAAATTATTCTGGCAGTTTGATATGTTTTAGTGATACATAAATATGAAAAATATAATAATTTCATTCACATAATGTAAAATATTGCTCATCATAAGGTTATAATTTTGCTTAATTCAAAGCAAAAAAGGACAAATGATTTGTTATGACAATAAATGTACGAAAATATAATGTTAATATCATAATTCTTAATGATAATTATGCAATCCTCATTTTACTTTTTAAGTTTTACATTCAAGTTCTTTAAAAATATATTAAATCTTTCATACATTTCTCTATTGTTAAATTTATCACTGTGTAAATGATGCAATAAAGTTAAATTGATCGTAGCATCTATATTAGAACAGTCTTGGCATGTGTTAGAATGTATTAACATGTTCGGTGATGTCTTGGTCTGTGCTGTCATGTCTTGTTATGATAACCATTTGTTTCCCACCCTTTCTTCATCCAGATGGAAAAGACTTTCAGTCCTACAATCACACGGATATAATAGGAATTAAAGAACTCATCAAAAAGGATGTACACGTTAAGCTTATTTCATGTAAGTGTCTTTATAAATAGTAATAATGTAATCTATTTATTGCTTCAAATATTAGCCGATGGATAACAAATATTACCTGCTGTGATTCGACTACAATCACGCAAATGATATCTTGTGTAAGGATTTGGTACCCACCCTCGAGGTCAGGGTTGCATTGCTTCTCTCTACCCAGGAGTATAAAAATAGGTACCTGATGGTTTTACATGCCAGTGCATCGATACAGTAGCATGACCAGAACTAAAATAGCACATCATAAGCAAGAGGGAAATGCTACATAAATGCACCTTAACTTAATGTAACTTATATTCACAAGGTAGTTATTCATGCTTTTGTATTTTATATGTAATTTGTAGCTCAGCTCATTGATTAATAGATCTTTCATAGATCTACTCCCTCTATTATACTGCCTTCATGCAGAGCTCTAGAAACACTTGGCTGATTAATAGTTGATTGATTAAATTGGTCTTTTTTAGCTCTATTCCCTTTATTATACTGCCCTCATGGGGGCTGATTGATTATTAGATCTTTTTTATCTCTACTGCCTCTATTATACTGCCTTCATGCGGAGCTCTAGAAACACTTGACTGATTGATTAATAGTTGATTGATTAATAGATCATTTTTAGATCTACTGCCTCTATTATACTGCCCTCATGGGGCTGATTGATTAATAGATCTTATTTTAGCCTTACTGCCTCTAATATACTGCCCTCATGCGGAGCTCTAGAAACACTTGGCTGATTAATAGTTGATTGATTAAATTGGTCTTTTTTTTGCTCTATTCCCTTTATTTTACTGCCCTCATGGGGGCTGATTGATTATTAGATCTTTTTTTTATCTCTACTGCCTCTATTAAACTGCCCTCATGCGGAGCCCCTAGAAACACTTGGCTGATTGATTAATAGTTGATTAATAGATTTTTTTAGCTCTACTGCCCTCATCAGAGCTTTCAAGATTACGAGAAATTGTTGCAAAGACTGCAAGAATTAATTTGCATGATTTATTTTACCTAATCTAGTAGCTTACTTTGTTGATTGGTTTAGTTGTGAAGAAATATTTACAATAAAAAATATGCATGTGCAAGGCCTATAATACCTTCACAATGCAAAAAGCAATTTGGAACTACTTTGGGAAGCATTCCATTGTTACATTGTTATAAAGCAAATTGGGAAAAGTAAGCCATCTACATGTACTAACAGATAAAAAGTGATTGTAAAATTTTATTATTTTTATCTCCCTTCACACATACTTTACCTCTAACAATTACAATTTATTTGAATACACGCCTCGAGTGTTTTTAATGTTTGAAAGGGTTTTTTGTGGGGTGTTTATTTGAGGGAGGGTTGTTTTGTTTTGTTTTATTTTTATTTTTTTTAGTGTAAAATGGATACATATATACTCAAATAAACGCTCCTTAATTTCACTGTAAATGTGGAACTACAACACGTAATTACCATCAAAATGTGTTATTGCATGATCATAAAGACATATTTTAATGATCCCAACCAGGTTAGAAATGACTGGAGTAGAAAATAGAATGTGTTGAGAATGATTCTGCTTACATTACTGTAGTTTTGTTTCCAGTCATTTAGGGGATTGTTTATTCGATAAACAAATAAACGCCCAGGGCACTTCTTCCAAATGAGGCTCTGGAGGGGGGAGTTTATTAAAAGCGGGGCATTTATTCGAATAAATACGGTATTCTCTATTACAGTATCCTTGAAAAGTACTTCAGTTTGTAGTATTACAATGGTAGGTGTAGCTTGGAGGTTATGACACTTTGCCATCTTACCACAGGGCCCTAGGTTCAAACATCGCCCACCCCTCCCCACCACCACCAGTGTTTTATCCCATAGTAGGATTAGAACCCGAGGTGAGAAATAACAATCTGCCTGACAGAATTTTATTTATTCCTTATTATGGTTATGGTTTTCCAGCTGAAGACAATCAGCTGCACCAGAGGTTTGCGGATCGCATAGGAATAGAGATTGTGTTAAATTGCCAGGAGAAGTTTGTCCAGATGGAAAAATGGCGGGAAGACCTTGGCCTTGATATGAATCAAGTTGCGTTTATGGGTAAGTAAATATTTTATTTACACATCGTAATGCAGGAAGGTTCATGTTACTTTGAACTTTATTGAATTTATAC